AGATAGATAGATAGATAGATAGATAGATAGATAGATAGATAGATAGAACGAGATGGCATTTAAATATCCTATCTTACGACCACCACAAACATCCCCAGAGATGAAAAGCTAGCTTTAAGGTCAGTGCAAAAATAGGTCTGAGTCCTTTAACCTAATTTGTACTTTTTATTAAATGAAAATATACTTCTTTGAAGCCTGAAATGATGGAGATTATCAAGAAACATACAAGACAAAATGTCTTTGGATTAATAGCAATATACTGTAGCATCACAAATTTTCATCAGTTGTTTTACTCTTAAATATAAAGCTATTAGACAATCTATTTATAATCATCTTTTTCCATTGACAACTTAGACCAAACTTGATAAAATTGATTTTCTCATAGACACCACCCACTGAAAGTATCCATCAGGCAAGCTTCAACAGTTCCAGTTAAATAAAGATGTCCTTTTTGCCCTTGCAGTTTGCACAGACATAACGTGCCATATTAGTGGAATGATGAAATTATGAAATTAGATTGCATTAGGCTGAGTTGTATTCCAAAAGTGGACAAATAGGTCCATCTGCATGCAATAAAAAAAAACTGTATTAAGACAGTGATGGCTAACCTTTTTGTTGTCGCGTGCCGAAAGTACCTGCATCCATAATGCAATAAATACGCAACCCCGCCCACCCACCTGCGCATGCATGCGTGACCCCCATGTGCACCCTGCCCACCTGCGCATGCATGCGCGTCTCCCGTACACATGTCTCCCCATGTGCATGTGCGGAAGATATCCAACAATCAGCTGGCTGGCAGGGGACACGCACATATGTGCAGTGGATCTGTTCCGGGCAACAGCTCATGTACCGGCAGAAATGGCTCTGTGTGCCACGCCTGGCACATGTGCCATAGGTATAGGATATGGGTATAGGATATATTCTATAAAAACAAATATGTATTGTGGAAACACTGGCTCTTTCGTTGTGCTCTTTTTTTTTCAAATTAAATTTACCTGAAATATTCATTTCCCCCCTCCAGGAAGTAAAAATATTTCCTTATATTCTTCCTTCAGAGAAGGTTACTCTCTATTTGCTTCCTGGAAAGGGTTAGGGTAAGGGTTTTATAAACAGCTCTGGAGGAAGCTATTTCTCTTCCTTTTTTCTTCCTATTCTGAATGGGTTCTCACCTAGGAACAATACCTCTTAACAGAGATGTACATGTAAATATTTCTTTCCAAATTTGCATTGAATGCTTTTTAAGATGCAAATTAATAGTACTTATTTAAGATCTTCTTACAAATACTGATGTATATTTAAAAATAAAAATCCAATAAAACTTTGGGGGGAAAAGATCTGCTTACAGATCACAGTCCAGGTATAGGGTTTTTTCTGATCTTGAGTTGTTCTTTTGCTTATCAGCCTACATAGAAGATGTGGCAAGATGTGTAGACCAAAGCAAGCGACTGATAATTGTCATGACTCCAAATTATGTGGTCAGAAGAGGCTGGAGCATCTTTGAATTGGAAACCAGACTTAGGAACATGCTTATTACAGGAGAAATTAAAGTGATCCTCATTGAATGCAGTGAACTGCGAGGAATTATGAACTACCAGGAAGTTGAGGCACTGAAACATACCATCAAGCTTCTAACTGTTATTAAATGGCATGGACCAAAATGCAACAAGTTGAATTCCAAATTCTGGAAACGTTTACAGTATGAAATGCCTTTTAAGAGGATAGAACCTATTACCCATGAGCAAGTTTTAGATGTTAGTGAGCAGGGGCCCTTTGGGGAATTGCAAACGGTCTCAGCAATTTCAATGGCTGCTGCTACCTCCACTGCTCTTGCCACTGCCCACCCTGATTTGCGTTCCACTTTTCATAACACATATCATTCACAGATGCGTCAGAAACACTATTATCGAAGCTATGAATATGATGTACCTCCTACTGGCACCCTGCCTCTTACCTCAATAGGTAACCAGCATACTTATTGCAATATCCCAATGACACTTATTAATGGACAGAGACCACAGACAAAAACTAACCGAGAGCAGAATCCTGATGAGGCTCACACAAACAGTGCAATCCTGCCCCTCTTACCACGGGAAACTAGTATCTCCAGTGTCATTTGGTGACATCAGTGCAAGGGTGACATAAGCTCCTTTGATCAGAAGCAAGGTCTGCAGTCTGGTGCCTGGAACTACATCCTCGACTGCTGCTGTTAAACATGCATTACAATCTATGAAATATGAGGAAAAACAGGGTCTTGTACATATGGTTTTGGAAATTTCTTTGTAGCATCAGTCTTCCTGTTTTACCATCCACATGTTGATTTTGTTTTATATGTCATCAAGATTTGTATATTTACATTTTTTTTAAAAAAAAGAGAAATGAAGAGACTGCTGTATAGATAGGGGTGGGGTTTTCCCCCCTGCTTCATTAGTATAGTTTGAATGTGTGTGTGCATTTTAAACATTTTGGAGGGGAATTCTTTTTAATCTAAAGCAGTATCTATTTTTGGTCTGGCTAGGCCAATACCCAGAGTCATACTTGCAGCAATTCAATTCATTGTCTCTGTGTGTGTGTGTCTGTGTGTGTCTGTGTGCACGCACGCATGCACGCACACGCACATAGGTGCCTACTGAGGTATGTGTGAAATCACTTGTTCTTGGGAGGTCCCCACAAATGTTTCAAGATCCTTTCTTCATGTTTTTAATCACACTGCTACACTTTGCCCTTTTCCCATCACCTTTTTAAAGCAGCACACTGAGTGAAATTAAAGATGGTCTAATTGTCTACACGTAGTAAATAATTGTGAATAACAACAAAAAACCCAGTCTGTATTACTTGCTTCACAATAACCATTATAATCACTATGGAATCTATAGAGAGAATACTAGATTTTTCTGTTTGATTTTATGAATTGTTTGTATTCATTTTATATAGAAATAACATGCCAATTCTAATTCATTCACTTCCTGGGAAAGTATTGGATGTGTTGTAATTCCCACTACCTATTTTGTTTGTTTGTTTGCTTGAAATCAATGGTTTCTTTTCTTATTTACATTCTTCAAATGAGATTATTGACATCTGCTAAGGAAGTAAGGCAGTAGGCACTGAAGTGCATTAAATCCTGCAGAGATTTCCAATGATGGCTTCAAAACCAAACTAATAGAAGGACAATATCTAAAATGGTTTGTCATTTTGTATTACATAAGATGCTATCTTTTAAGAACTATGGAACATACTTTTTCAACCAAGTTTGAAACTTATGTATATTCAAGTTTGATCATCACCTTTTCTTTTCACTGATACATCCGGAATTTATTATTTATTATTATCTTTTCTTAAGCTTGTAATAACACTACATTTTTTAATTCCAAGGTTGTTTAAAGGAGATCTCAGGAGGTTGCAAAAAGTAAATACCAACAAACATCAGTATTTTATAAAATATTAATATTTAAATCAGAAGGAGAAATGTTGAAAATAATGTTATTGAATAAAATAAACTAGTTTTATTTTAAATGTTTTATTTCATCTTTGAAGATTTAAAGAAAGTACAGATATTTTGGTTTTGCAATTACTTCATGCATAAATCTAAGGACTGAACTCTGCCTATATGGATTCAATAAGAATTTGTCATAAATATTAACAGATTTAATTCCCCATTCACTTACAGTTAACAGAATGAGCACTACTATTCATATTTCCAGCTACCAATGCAATAGCGACCTTTCATATAAGAAGGCAGCCAATAATAGATAATAGATAATATGATTACTATAGCACTAGACTAATAAAGCAAATTTCTTACGACATAAAATGATGTAGTGGATTACTGATACTAATTAACATGATACTAATTACGGATTACTAATTAACATGCTAGAGGAGAATATAGCATTTTTAATGTTGCATTAAAAATGCAACTATTTAGCAGCAACAATCACATGAAGTTGCAGGTCTTTTTCTTCATTGGAAAGAAACGGAAAGTGTTTTTTACATAGTTAATAAGATATAGCCAATACAACAGATGTATTGTGTGTTTATTTTGGCTGCCATCATAAAAAAGGCTTATATTTGGGGTCAATTAAGATGTTATCAATTAATTTTAACCTAAAATCTAGATGTTTGGGTTCCATCGGTACATGAAAAATCACTCGTATTATTGTATAGGTAGTCAAGAAATCACTTGAAAGCTGAATTAGGATTATAGGATGTATTTTGACATAATTTAACTAACAATATTCATTTCTAATAGTTTGCTATTTTCCTTCAACACACAAAAAGAAAAATGTGGAAATAAAATCACACTAAGCACATAATGCTATCAAGTAGGATTTGAAAATTCACATTATTTAAAAGTTCATTCTTTGAAAATTTAAAATAGTTATTACTGGTTATAGACACCTGTGAGGCACTAGTGTAATTAGTCACTTTTGATAAGATTCCAACTCTGAGAACTCCAAATAGCTAACAAAAATGCAACAGCTTTTCCTTTTAAATTTTTAATCTTACATTTGATCTGTGAAGTAATGTAAAGCATTGCAATCTGACAACAGTCACACTGCAGATTCTAGACAGATGATATTATTTGATTTTTTTTCCTCAAAGGAACACTTTTGTCCTCTGTTTTTAATGTAGATTGAAGCAGTTTGAATAGCATGATTCGGGGTTTAATAGATACTATTTGATATTTGTGCTACTTAAAGATTTTCTTATAGTGCTTTGTTATATTATTCAGAAGGAATTGACAGAATTGGTTTGGGGGAAAAACAGAAAACAGATGAAAAAAAGCCATTAATGGCTTGAGAAACATTCCACCTAAGTCATTCCTTTCTTTAAACAGCTCTGTTTGCGAAACAGTAAAGGGTCTGTCATATGTTCAAAATGCATACTTAATGTTTGGCTAAAGTTCTGTTAGAACACAAAAGAAAAAGAAAAAAATGCCCTAATTATTGGGCTCCATTCTTCTTTATTGGGGAAAGAGGAGGGAGGAAAATGTTCTAATTTTACAGTGTTTGCATGCAAAGCCAAATTTCAGGGCCATCCTTAAAATAGAATACATGTAAAGAAAGTTCAAAGTCTCTGCAAATGTTAGCATGTATAACTTTCATTTCAAGATTGCTGAAATAAAATTGAAAGCCTAATTGGTAGGAAAAGGATGTGTTTCTCTTTCAAATGCCATTACTAATTGTAACCTCATAGCTATGCTTGAAATATTTTGATACTGAGCTACAAATCTCAGGACCTTCAAACCTTCACTCACCTTTTATTTTTGTAACATAAAAGTTTAAAATAAAAAAGCAGTAAATGGATGACTAAAGGGATTATTTAAAAAAAAATCCCATGAACATCATCAGTATGGCTTGAGTAAGAATTCTACTGTTAAAAGTTAAGATATACTGCAAATTTTCACAAATTACTCCTCCCAGTTGCAATCTATTGAAAAACTAGTCCAAACATTGCAATATCAATTCCACAATAGTCTGGTAATGCCATTAGAAGTGTGTGGTTTCACAAACATTATCTCAATTTTGTCTTTGCTGAAAATCTTTGCTGATAGTTACTTCCACAAATGTAACAAATAGAAGCATCTCTCTCAGTACCAGAGATGGTATTCAGCAGGTTTTGACCAGTTCTGGAGAACCACTAGCAGACATTTTCAGTAGTTTGGAGAACCGGCAAATTCCACCTCTGACTGTCCCTGTCCCCATCTATTCTCTGCCTCCTGAATCCCAGCTGATTGGCTGGGTCTTCTTTTGTTGCCCTGCACAGGAGACCAGAGCTGGAAAGCAGGTTAGTGGGGTGGGGAGGGAATGGAATTTTGCAGTAACCTTCCCCCTGGAGTGGGGAGGGAATTGAGATATTACAGTATTCTTCCCCTGCCATGCCCATTAAGCCATGCCCACCAAGCTACGCCATGCCCACCAAGCCATACCCATAGAACCAGTAGTAAAAAAATTGAATCCCACCATTGCTCGATACAATACATAATCCTGGAAACAATTTCCTAGAATTTTGTTAGTACATGCTATTCTTTTTATTCCACATCTCAATAGTGGTTTGCACAATATTTTATGAGTTAAAGTCTGGACAAGTGAGTTCATGAAGATACTTCCAGTTGTGAAATAACCACACTACTGAATAATATAGAATACTTACTGTCTAGATATTGATTTCATTAGCTGAGTAGGGTTGGATACATTTATTTACATCCAGTGTGTGGAAGTAATTTGCTCTTTGTTTCAGCAGTAATGTGTTCTTTGGTACAGAGGCAAAGATCCACTTACTGGAAAAGTAGCACTTAGACATTCAAACAGCTCTTTAGAAGTGGATGCAAGTATACTTGTTGCGTTCAGATTTTGTTCATGTCCACTCAATATAATTAGGGATTTTATTGACACACCTTTTTAGTCAGGTAATAGTAATGGGAACTCTACCACCCCTTTGAAGTATTTCTGTTAGTGGATATGTATTCTATCTAAATTATTTATATAAAACCACAATTTAACTCTTGACTAACTGTTCATGAACCTCTGTCATGAACAGAGATCCTCTTAAGAGACCAAGAAAAAAGGAAAAGTATAAGACCCACCCATTCAATGGCCAAATAAATCACACAATTAGCTTTGCAACTGATATCACCAGAAATTCTCAGCCATCGACTAGGAAAGATTAAATAGTCAGTTAGCCATGAAGAAAATATAGACCCTTTACTTTACCAAAGTATCCTATTATCTGTAAGCTATACATTGTAGCTAATATTTTACACTTGTAAAATGTCCATGTTGTAACCACTTAACCACCTCTTTCCAAATCCCATATGTTGCATTTGATGGCCAAATTGGAAAGAACTATTATGATATCCCATTAAAGTGCAGTAAAAAAGTAAATATTTATACTTTGGTAAGACTTAAAAGAAGAGGTTTGACAAAGTCTGCATTTATTTCCCTTTCTTTATATAAAGTAGCTTTATCCATGTGCAAAACAGAACGTTAAATTTTCTATGTTGATATATGGGCTTATTCTTGTAAAAATAAATGGCAATGGAAAAAAAAAACTGTCTGGCTTTCATAACTTAACTAATTTTGACCAATCATGTAACCATGGTCAGTCCACTTAGATGAACATG